GCTTTGGAGTTTGAGTTCACAAGGTCTCAGATTGTTTCTGCAATTCCTGGAACCATTTTCTGTGTATGGTATGCTAAACAAAAGCATTGGCTAGCTAACAACGTTTTGGGCCTTGCCTTTTGCATTCAGGTTTGTCAGCATATCCATCTAAGTTACATTTTTCATTTTTACTGGATCTCCTTTTTTTTTTCATTATTCCTTCTTTCAACTTGTTTTGGGTGAGGCGTATTTGTTGTATCCCTTTTTTCTGCTTGCAAAAGTCAGACACTCAGTTAAACAAAAAAAACATTTCTCCTGTGTTTGACATTTGCAGCTGTTATTGTTCCAACACTTCTTATTCCATATTAACAAAATCTTCTGTGCATGATAAGCTGCCAACCATGCTAGTAGTAATGGGTTGATGGCTAATTGGCTCCTCTCTCGTAATCAATTTCATTTACTAACTGAAAAATCTTATCATTTGTTCTAAGAAAATGTGGTTTAGTACTACTCACTAGTCCGGTGTCTGATATGAAGGTGTTCTGCTCTTTTGCTGGCTGGCTGTTTATTGCATCATTAATAAGCAATTGGATATTCGCTTATCATATAATTTGTGAGCTTCATGCTTCACACACAGTTTGTGTCGCTTGATGTGTTAGTATATCATTTGTCCTGACAATAGAGTCTTAAATTTCTTCATTTTCAGAGGCCAAATTTACATGGACTTCCTATTTTGAAGATATGTTTAATTTAGATGGATGTTATATGATTTAGGTAGAGTATATTGTATACTTCCTCCATCCAATTTATGTGATGCACTTCCCTTTTTCATCCGTTTAAAAGGAATGGTATTTTTTTTTGTATTTAGAAATGTTTCAATTTTAAACTTTTCATTTTACGCTTAATGAGATGGTTTATGGTCCACACAAATATCTATGGTTTGTTTTAGAGACAAGATTCAAAAAAAATTCTTTCTTTTTCAAATTTCATGCCTAGTCAAAGGGAATCACATAAAGTGGACAGGAGGGATATATGCCAAAATGGAGAGTATCATACAATTGGAACAAAGGAAGTACCAATTTAAGACTCATTGATTCTTTTCTTTTTTATTTTAATATGTACCCTTTATCAAACTAGGTGATGTAAATGGAGAGGTCAACATTCATATAAATAACTCGCATTTGTCTACACTTGTTCTCGGACCAAGCATAGTTGTACTTGTCTATCTGCAAAGGCGACCCACCTTTATGTAATTTGGATCCGTGATGGCACTCTGATACCTTTCTTTATTTTATTTTCTTATTTATTGATAACGGGAAAATCTCATTTGATTGACCTACATCTATGTATTTGGTAGAACATGGGCCCACCCCTCTATCGTGCTCCCACTAAAACACCAGGATCCTTGTCATTGTTAGGGTTTTTACTTTTGACATGCGCCCTACCCACATCCCACATTGGGTCCATACATTGAGCCAACGTTACTTGTTATTACTATTTGTATGCTTCGAATGAATGGATATTTTTGCAGAGCTGAAAAGTGTTTGGTCCCCTCTTAAGTCTCACCATGTCTACCTTGATGAATGATATGGATTTTCCTCTTCCCTTTTAATTTCAGGGTATTGAAATGCTTTCACTTGGATCATTTAAGACTGGTGCCATACTATTGGTAAGGGAAGAAATTTGTGTATTATATTTAACTGTACATGGTTCATAGGTGTTATTCTGTTTATGTTTCTGGCCTTAAACCAAATATCCCTTTGTTTTTCCTGATTTGCTTCTTCCCAATATCCCTATGAAGAAGTGGAAAAAGAACTTCATGAGATATTTCTAATGATTTTATATTATATTAACCCCTAATGGTAGAATCTTTTAGGCTTCTTTATGGCGTTCTTTAACATAGGCAGTACCACTTGCTATACAACTTTCTATATTCATTAACTTGTTACTGATGTGGAATGCCGATGGCTTTTGAAAAATGCAGACAGGACTTTTTGTGTATGACATCTTCTGGGTCTTTTTTACCCCCGTGATGGTCAGTGTAGCCAAATCTTTTGATGCTCCTATCAAGGTGTGTATAGACCTTTTTATCTGTAGCTGATTCTTTAAATTTTCCATTCCACACCTTTGTTAGTTGCTGTGTCTCCTGATTATAAAATTGCTTTGTCTGCAGCTTTTGTTTCCCACAGCGGATGCTAAACGCCCCTTCTCAATGCTGGGTCTTGGAGATATAGTTATACCAGGTATAACCTCCATTCTCATAAAAAGCCATTTCTGATTTTTGACCAGTGCTATTTGTAAATAGCCACGGATGCAACTTTACAAATTATTAGCTTACTTTTTGTGACTAAATTAAGCATAATAGAGGGATCCTCCATCGTAAACTATGTGGTTTGGGGTTTGAGACAGAGGAAATAGTGGAGAAAACCACTGTTGGTCCCTCGAGAAGGAATGAGGGATGAGGTTTACCATATCGAAGAAATGCTTCATTTCTTTTACTCTTACTACTGTACTTTATTTTGTCTTCCACAATTGCTTATTATTTGCTTCTTGCCATGGTCTTGCATCATTTTTCTTTTGCAACTTTTTCTTTGCTTGAGTAGATACACTTGGTAACATTTGATCACTTCAATTTTTCAGGCATTTTTGTCGCATTGGCTCTCCGTTTTGATGTCTCCAGGGGGAAGGAACCCCAATACTTCAAGAGTGCATTTTTAGGATACACATTTGGTTTGGCACTCACAATATTTGTTATGAACTGGTTCCAAGCTGCACAGGTTGGTGTCTGAATTGAACTTTAACACTTTATATCCCTTGCAAGAAAGCGTTGCCATTAATTGTTGACTTGACATTTGTTTTTTTCCAGCCTGCTTTGCTATATATTGTTCCAGCTGTAATTGGATTCTTGGCGGTACATTGCATATGGAACGGGGATGTGAAGCCTGTATGTTTTTCTTGACAATCTGTTTTTACCAAGTCTAATAGCTGACTTTGCTGTTTATGGCTCTTCACTTCTATTATGCTGTTTACTCCCATTTTTTTACTACATACTTTATGGAGATCTGATTTCCTCGTCAGATGTTTGGGAAAAACACTTGTTCTAAAACTATGTTGCTCGGACTCTCCGAGTTGCTGCATCCGTGTTGGACTCGTCAAAATGCACTACTCTTGTAGTATCAGACATGCAGCCAGAAATTTTTGAAAATGCATCTAATGGCTTTGGTTGAAAACTATATATAAAGTAGGAGAAAGGAAGGTTTCTTGCTGTTTTTTCGAGTGAAGTATAAAATGATTAGAACTTTTTTCCTGCATTTTGAATTGATAATCTTTGATAGAGTATGAACCAAACCTCCACTACCTTTTATATGAAGCAATAAGACTTGGTTTCTATTACATTTCTGTTTCGAATGCTGAAAACTGTATTGTTGATATTTTTGTTGAGCAGTTGTTGGAGTTTGACGAAGGAAAGACAAAGGTCGCGGAAGAAGCTGAAGCCAAAGAAAGCAAGAAGGTAGAATGAGTGTTTAAGTAGACAAACTGACATTAAAGAGACAATGACCCTCCAATTAGGCTCTATGTATCGCCGTGGATGAATAGTTTCACAAGGCAGCAGAGACTGTTGGTTAAGCAACAAAGTTTGTTGTATAAGATTTTTGAGACTGACCATCAATACTACTGGCCTTTTATGTTATACCTTAAAATTGATATTATTAAATGTCAATTTTTTCTCTTTCATTTCAAGTCAAAAATATAACTAGAATTTATAGCAATTAAAATAAGAACTACATAAAATCACTTGAAAGTCTTAGACGAAAGTTAGAGGCCAAAGGGAGCTTTGAAATCTAATCTTAAGTGATAAGTTAATTATTATCTTGTTAATGGGTTGACTTATGATGAGCATATCTCCAAATACATTGAGAGTTAGAAGAACTTCAAATTGAAGGACTTCAAGTCTACTTTTCATGATTGTTGGAATCATTTTTGAATTTACAGTTCTGCAATATGAAGTTGATTGACCATGACAAATTCACAGTTTTGAGTCCATGGATTATGTGTATCAATCTTATTCGCAAATTTTGAGGTATGAAAAAATTATACGCACATATGCAAGATTTTAAATATGTCAAGTTCGGTTGTCCGTAATTGAATTCTAAAGAGTCGTTGTTATTAGTAATATTTTAGACTTAAAACGTATTTCGAAGTAACAAATTAATAAAAGCATTAATGACAATAACATTCAAATTATATTTGTTTACATCCGTCAGACATTTGTCCTACATACCTTAATTTGAAGTTTGAGGAAGAATGGTTATTGCAATCTCTAGCGTTCTTGTAAATATTATTTTTTGGACAAAAAGAGAGGAGTTTATTGTAACTTATGAAATCTAATTAAATTTGACTTTTGAAGAAAGTTAATCGTCAACGGTTCGGGTTATGGAATGAGGAAAGGACAAAAACACCCCTCTTCAAACTATGAAAAGAAGAGAAAACTAAAAGAATTTCAGAGCGAATGTGCACAGTGTGGAGCCTAGATCGTGCGGCCATGGCAGTAACACTAGCGTTCCCGCGCAGTCACCTGATGGTCCGCGCAGACTACATAGTGCTCACTAAAATGGACTTAACTTTTAGAACATAACTCGAATTGACGAACGATCAAATATGTTTGAAAGAAAACTCTGAAACTTGCCATTAGGTTGATATTAGGCTACAAAACACTTATGAGTTCCTTATGGACTTGATTTACATCTAACACACTTTCCACACTAATAATTGGGCGTTAGCACCCATGAACAATTAGGAATTAATCACCGGGTTTGAATCTAAACACGTACCAATTTAGGTTGGGTATGAAACATGTTGTAGTTAATATAAACGGGAAAATTTGGGCTTTTATTGATGAACTGATGGAATACACAATAGAAAGAAATGAGGAACAAGTTTTGACTATCAAAGTGCAGAATCAAGGATTGGACATCGAAGTGTCAATATCTTTGGTATATGCTAAGTGAAAGACTACAACTATGGGATTCCTTGGAGGATTTATTCAACAACATCAGAATTCCCTGGTTAGTCGAGGAGACTTCAATGTGATTAGAAATGAAGAGAAATTAGGAGGGTGTCAAGTAACTAATGGGGAAGTTATGCACTTCAATAAATTGCATTAATGTATGTAATTTGGAGGATCAAGACTTCAAGGGTAGGAAATACACTTGGTGGAATGGGAGAACAGATGAAGAATGCATTTTCAAATGAGTTTTATGCAATGAGACACTTTCCCGGGCTTAGAAATTTAACATTTGGTGCGGAGTGGTTCTGATCATACTCCATTTTTAATTACTCAAAAACCCAGTAGCGAGAAAGTAATAAGACCATTCAAATTTCTAAACTTCTGGATAAAGGAGAAATCATTCATGGAAGGGGTCAATCAGCAGTGGAAATCAGATTTTAAAGGAGACCCTTTTGTTTTATTCCATCATAAATTAAAAGGGTTAAGAAGAGCAAAGATACCTTTGGTAACATCTTTCAGGAGATAATCGCTCTTGAAGAAGTTATAAAAGTAAATGAAACACAGTTTGAATTGGACCCTTCAGGAACTAACAGAGAAAAATTGCATAGATCTCAAGTGGAGCTAAGGAAGCATTTACAAAGGGAGGAAGAATTTTGGAAACAGAAAGCTGGAATGGAATGGTTCAAAGAGGGAGAGAGAAATACTAAATTCTTTCATACCATTGTTAAAGGAAGGAGGAAAAGGATGAGGGTAAATAAAATCCAAAACGAACAAGGAGAATGTTTAACCCAACAAGAAGATTTGCGGAAGCAACAATAGATTTTTACAAAAAACAGTTCACGAAGCAGGAGGACAACGAAGATTTTAAGCTACTGAAGGAATTACCCGTAGTGATAAATGATGAGATGAATGAAGAGCTGCAAAGCATGCCAACAAAGGAGGAGGTCAAAAGGGCAGTAATGGGCTTAAACAAAGTCAGTGCAGCAGGACCACATGGTATGAGTGGAGAGTTTTTCCAACATAATTGGGATACCACAGGAGAGGATATTTTCAATATGGTCAAGGCATTCTTCAATGGTGCGGAGGTACCACGTTTCATCACTCACATAAATTTGGTTCCCATTCCTAAGAAAGTAACGGTGAATACTTTCTCATACCTGAGGCACATTTCCTTAAGTAACTTCGTGAATAAAATCTTTTCAAGAATTATTCATGAAAGACTAAAAATAGTGTTACCAGGAATTATATCCCCAGAACAAACTGGTTTTGTACAATGGAGAAGCATAGTAGAGAATGTATTATTGGTTCAAGAAATTATAACAGAAATAAGGAAGAGAGGGAAGTCTCCAAATCTAGTGATTAAACTAGACATGATGAAAGCATATGAGAGAGTGGAATGGCTATTTATGACCAAGGTATTGAGAAGACTAGGTTTTGGTGAAAATCTTATTGATATGTTGTTTTGATTGATCAGTTCCAACTGATACTCTATCCTCCTAAATGGTCAACCTAAAGGATTTTTTAAATCATCGAGCGGGCTGAAGCAAGATGAACACCTCTTTCTAACCTGGTTTAATCATCGATTATTGAACCACTAAACTCGACTCCATCATTGAATCTGGTTCTGATACCACTTGTTAGGACCAAAAATAAGCACGTGTAAACGCGGAAGCTATCAAAGCAAACCTCGAAAGACTACGAGTAAGAAGACAACGAGAAATATGCCAAAAGACACAAAGATTTAACGTGGTTCAGTCAATCGACCTACGTCCACAAATGATATGAGCAATCCACTATGAATATGAGAGTAAAAAATACAAAGAGAAACAACCTCAACCAATTCACTCGGAATACATGGGAGGTTCACACAAGTGATAACGTATCAAGATTGTGACCCACAAATTCTCCCTCTAACCAAAACTCTCAAAGCCTTTAAAGACTACATTGTGAATGTTGATTAAGTTAGAAGGAACATTCTTCTATTTATAAAGTCCTAAACCTTTTTCCTACAAGAGAATGATTAGTCAATCCAAAACCTTTTCCTAAAAGGAAAACTTATTTATGGTAAGAAATTTTGGGCAAATAAAACCCAACAAGAAGGAAGACGGATTAAGATTTCGATTAATGCATGATCTATCAATGGCCCTATTTTGTAAGCTATGGTGGAACTTTTGGACCAAACCTTCGATATGGAGTGAATACATGAGAAATAGGTATTGCAAGAACAATCATACTAATGTAATTATGTGGAAAGTTGGGGGAGGTGGACCACAAGTATGGAAAAAAATGCTTCAAGCAAGGGACCTCATTGAGCATCAAATCCTATGGCGAATTAAGAAAGGATCAGCCTCTGTATGGCATGATAATTGGTCAGGCTTGGAGATCTCTATACCATCACGGGAGTAGATTTTGAATGGGATGATAGCTATACAAAGGTTGAAGAACTGACTAATCAGGGAGAATGGAATGTAGAGGTGTTGCAGGATATTCTTCCTCTACAGTTAGAAGAATACATTATACAACATATCCACCCTCTTACGGGTAAAGAGGAAAAAGACACACCCTGCTGGATGTTGGATTCAGGGGGATCTTTTACTGTTAAGGCAACATGGCAGTAAATAAGGCACAACGAGGAACCCAACAAAATCTATAAGTGGATTTGGACAAAAGGGGTTCCTTTTAAGGTGGCCTTCATGATGCGGGGCCTTTGGAAATTCAAAATTTTTATTGATGATAGACTTAGATGATGAGGACTGGAAGGGCCTTCTAAATGTTGGTGCTGTGAAACACCTGATCAGGAAACACTAACTCATGTGTTTCTTCGATCCTTTACTGTTAACATGACTTGATCCTTTTTTTGCTCTTTTGCAGGTCTAAGCATATCAGGACTCCAATTAAGAGAAGTTATAATGGTATGGTGGGGAGTAGATACAAAAAAACATTGAGGCCTTTTTATAGAGCTTTACCTAGCTTTGTGATCTGGGAGATCTATGAAACACAAAGGGAAGAAAACATCAGTGTCACGAATCATATACATGTACATGTAGTTTCACTTGAGACATCCAAGGAGGAAAGGACCTAGTGATTGCCCAGGTATGCTAAGAGTTTTGGAAAACTACAGGCCTATGATGAAGGTAATAAAGGTATTGTGGGAATGCCCACCAGAAGGTTGGCTAAAGCACAACACCGGTGCAGTTTCACGAGGAAATCTAGGGCTAAGTTCCTATGCATTTTGCCTAAGAAATCATAGAGGAGACATCAAGTATGCAGAGGGAGGAAGTATGGAGAACACCACTAACATGTGGCGGAAGAAAAAGCTATCCTAGAAGCATGCAAACATTGCAAACACTCACAGTATAATCAAATCATCACAATGCTTATGTGCAAGGTACTTAAAGAACAATGGCTAGTCCCGTGGATAATAGCAGAAATGGTGGAGTAAATTAAAACATGCATGAAAGATAAACAACATATTTTTCAACACACTCTCAAAGAAGGAAATAAGTTAGCAGACTACTTAGCCAATAGAGTTATCGATAAAGGAAACTGCATATTCTCATATATCAATAGTATGGAAGTAACAGGAAGGAAGATTATCAACAGTGACAAATTAAAATGTCCCTATTTGAGGATAGTACCAGTAAGGAGATAAAAGGATGGGGAAGTCTACAACATAAAAAATGCACAAACATTATATTCTTTTGGGATTGGGTTTTTGCCTAAGGAGGTGTAAGGTGGTGTTTGTGCTTTGATGGACTGAGATTATTAAAATAAATTCTCTAATTATTTTTTTTTAAAAAAAATACATGTATGAAAAATGATTCGAAAAATCTTAGCATGTACTAACTTCTAACTTCATCAAAATGATATTTTGACAGTAAAAAGTGACTAAAGAAATTACTTGGACAATTAAACAAACAAACTACATCTGAATTACAGTCATATCCCAATCTTATGTGTTTTCATAAGTACAAGACAGTTTCAAACATCATTATAGAAAACATTATGACTAACTGGCCCTAAGGAAATAATTGCACTAATAGAAAATGTTGGAAAATCTAACAAATACTTCATTAGGCATGAGGTATTAGTAGAACAACTATTGCATTCCTTATGCTCTGGCACTATAACTAGTTTCTCCAGATTTATTGCATGCTCAAGTAAGAACTTCAAGAATTGATGGAGCTCTGTTGCGTCAGATCTACGCTTGGGACTACAAAATGGCATAACCTTGACATTCTTTAAATTTTGTAAGAAATCTTTGAATATGTTCTCTTCAAGGGAGAGGTACTTATCTTCTGGTAAATCAGTGTCTTCGACCTCAAAAAAAGGATGGTACTACAAATACCGAACAAGGAAAAATCAAGTTAGGTTGTAAGCTTTAAGCTTAACAGCTATAATAATGAAATTGAAGTTTTTGAGGCCGTAGAGGATCAATAAACATTTGATATAATATATATTGTGAATTGAAAACATACCGGCTTATCAGGAAATATCATCAAATTTTCCAAATTATGAGTTGACCTTAAGAGGTTGTCTAGCATTGGGAAGGAAAGTTTTGAAATACGGGAACTCATCGTCAAGCATCTGCATTCCATCAACGGTAAGGAAACGTGTTCCTCTTCCAACATCAAATTGGAAATCACCTGAACAAACGAATGAGACTGATGATAAACATAAAAAGAGCTCTATTCACAATCAACATAAAAAGATTAGAGACATCTGGGACTGATAGCTGACCTTGATAAACCGGGATGAGAGTATTAGCTCATTAGCACAACAAACTCTTAGCAACAGATCTTTCTCTATGTTTAAATCCATTTCATTATGTTCATCACAGTAGAGATTAAAAGTGGCATGGTTCAAAGACGGCATGTCCCCGAGCTTAATTTTCGTATGACTTAAAATCCCAGTAATCGTCAAATGTTCAACATATGGAGCAATAATTTCTAAGCAACATATATCACCTTCGTATGAATACCACTCCGTATAAGGGAAATAATGTTGGGTCAATTGCAATCGCCTAAATTTTGGAGAAGTCATGTGCAGACGACTAAAACCAAAAAAGTCATGCAGCTCCAAAGATTCCAATTGAGGACAATTTGATATTTGTTTAATGTGTTCATCCAGGAGATACAAGCTTTGCATCTTTAAACTCTTCAGAGATGTCCAATTTAGTACACAATCTTCTGATAGTATGCAATACTCGCAGTTCAGTGTTACAATTGATGAACTACTGCAGAGAACTTGCAGCAAGCTATAGGGTTGGGGCGGACTCGTATCAAGATATCTGTAGCTTATATTCAAGCATAAATCCTCCACTTTTTTACTCGTAGCAAATTCAAGCCACTTGTCAATTATGGGATAGTAAGACACAACATCATTATCATTTGTGAACACAATGTTTAGACTGAACTTTTTAATGCTAGAGCAGCTAAGGAGAGGTAGTACATTATCTGTTACGAAAATGAATTTGTGCACCGTCTCTGTCGAGCTATCTGGACGACCATACTCCTCTTCATAAACAATGTTGTCGATAGAAGTCCAGAAGTATTGCCAATCTTTAGAGAGAATACTTGTTCTGAACGCCTCTTTTATGGACAACCGAGAAAGAATTTGAACAATGAGACCCTCAGGTAGTTGGCTGATCCGATCAATTTCTTCACATTCTATATCAATCTTTGTTTTTTTCTGAGATGAATTTTCAATAAGCAGACTTTTGGAGTTTCCAGTATCACGACAACCTCCAGATAATTGGTCTTGATTGCTCATAACTTAGGACTGTGAAAGGGAAAAAATTATAAGACATCAGAGATAAAGTTTACTTGTATATGAAGCAAGGTGGGTGGGGTGGATTGAAAACTAATTGTTTTGTTATGCGGGGCGAGGAGGGACGGGTTGAAGTGTTCGCTGACTCGTGCGAATTTTCCGCACAAGTGTTCCGTCCCGCCCCAATAACAAAGTTAAAATCTTCACAAAAATCAATTACTACAAATAGGGGTGCTCACATGTCGATACTGATCAATATCAAAACCAAACTAACATAATTAGTTTTTAAATTCTCAAAATTAAATCGAAGCAAATGTAATATACATTTATCGATTTGGTTGTTATCAATTTTGATTCTATTCCGTTAAGTTTTTCGGTAATTAATCATACACAAAAATAAAAGGAATGGTTCATTCAAATTGAAAAAAAAGTTATAACAATTCATCAAAACTGAGAAGTGGTTAGAACGACCGATGTTACTGAAATTTTGATGACTAAATTTACTATGAATAAAGCTTCATAATTCATCATTTTGGCCTTGAAAGAAGAGACTATGACATTTTTAGTCATATAATTGAATTTTTTTGGTGTTTATGCATTTTTAGTACTAAATTTAAAATATAACTAATAACATAATGTTTTCGTCTTGACGTTTTTGCTTTTATAAAGAAATCAAAATTAAATTGTGATGAAAACATATATAAGATCTTTAAAAGTGTTTATAAAAGTAATATGTTATATATATATAATAATAAAATATATGTATATACAAAATTTATCGGATCACTTAAATTATTTCTTTGGTTATTTTGAACAAAAGTAAAAAAACTATTGATTTTCAAAATATCTAAAACCAAATGAAACTAAACCCAAATAAAATTGATTTATTGGATCGTTTTGATATAATTTTTTTGGTGTGGATCGATTTTTGTCCGAATCGTGAACACCCATAACCACAAGTATATGACCAACAATAAAAAATAATTTATTCTTGAAAAGTGATTGCCTAAATAACAGAGGGGGGGGGGGGGGGGAGGATTTAAAATAGAAGAAAATCTATACAAATTCAACAGAAGGAGAAGAACAATACCCACATTGGAAAAATAAAGAGAAAAATAGGATAAATAGAACTAACCTTATTACTGAACATAAACTAAGCGGTGAAAGCGAGAGAGAAACTGAAGAGATGAATAAAGAGGGAAGAGTAGGTAGGTTTTATAAGAATGAGACAACGGCGAGAATGCAAAAATAACATATGTAAACGTTACAACACTCTTAAATAGGTCAAATTCAATGAAATCACCAAAATGCCCCTTATTGCATCAATCACTATTAGCTCGAGCATGCCAACAACCAATGTTGACTCTGTACACTAGGACAACTAATATGAACCTTTTTCAAACAAAATAAAAAATACTATATGTTTTCAAAAATCTAAAATCAAACGAACATCAATCCCAAATAAAATTGATTTATTGAATTGTTTCAATATATTATTTTGGTGTGAATCAATTTTTATCCAAATTTTGAGTACTCTTAAGCACAAGTTATACTGAGAATAAGACCACCAATAAAAAATAATTTATTCTTGAAAAGAATTGTGTAAAAAAGAGAGGGGGGTCTAAGACTGGTCAACGGACCAGAACCGGTTCACCAGACCGGAACGAATCGGTATTGGACCGAAACGAAACCTGTTGACCGATATGTTGATCGGTACTGGGATGAACCGGATCGGAATGACCAGGATGAATAATCGGTTTCGTCCTGTTCCACTATATACCGGGATGGAACCGGAACGAACCAGAACGGACCGGGATGGAACGGGACGGGATAAACGGGACGATCTTATTTGGGATTACGAAAATATAATTTTTTAAGTATAAATTAATAGTTTTTAAATTTATACTATAATTTTTTACTTAAGTTTATTTTAAAGATATTTTATTAATTTTTTTTGTTGTTGTTAAGTTTGCAAGTAAAGTCTAATAAAGTTTTCAAAATTTAAATCTTTTGAAGTTTATACTTCATAAGTTATTACTTATATTCATTAATATTTTTTTATAAATTATATTTATAACTTGTGTCTTGTAAATATTAAATAAATAAAATTTGTAATTTTAAAAAAATTAAATTGAAATAAGGATAAAACAATTACCAAAATTATTTAATAACAATTTAATTTATTTAAATTTGTAACAAATTACAATTTCAATTTACAATTATTAGTAGAGTACATAGAAATTATATAAAATAGAATTTATAGAAAATATAAATATAAATTATATAAAATATAAAAAAAATTAATATATATTAAGTAAATCGGATAGGAATCGGACCGGATCGGATCGGAACCGGGATGAACCAGTATCGGTACACCTGTACGAAATCACGGTTCATCTTGTTCTGTGTACCGGTTCAGACTATCCCATCCCATTCAGTAGGCAATCGAAACGGTGCGAACCGGAACGAATCGTAACGGTACCAGTACGTTCCGTTCTGTTGACCAATCTTAGGGGGGTCTATAATAATTCAACAAAAGGAGAAGTACAATACCCACATTTGAAAAATAAAGAGAAAAATAGGATAAATAAAACTAACCTTGTAGCTGAAAAGAAACTAAGCAGCGAGAGCAAGAGAGAAGCGGAAGAGATGAATAAAGAGGGAAGAGTAGGTAGGTTTTATAAGAATGGAACAATACTGACAATGAATGAAAGAATAACAAATATAAATATTAAATCCCTCTTTAAGTGGGTCAAAGTCGATGTAAATCACAAACTTATCGCATCAATTAATATTACCTCAGTAATGCCAATGGCCAATATTGACTCTTTACACTAGGATAACTAATACGACCCCTTTTCAAAGAGGCCTCCTTTAAGACTCTATTAAGATAAATCATTTAATATGGATAGATACAAGTTACAATAATCTCCATACAAGGAAAAAGAAGGCTTTCCCTTAAGATAATTTACACGTACAATAATAATGAAAGCGATCAATGACATACTATTGTTGAACTCTTTCCGAGATCTTTTATTTCTTTGAAAAGATACAAGAAAGAATCTATCAATCTATTGATATTGGTAAACCTAACAGATTCTTTCAATGTATCATTTCTAAATATAATGAAATTCATAGGTATATAGAAAGTATCTATTAAATTGCAATTATTTTTTAATTATATTTCAATCATTAATATATATGATAAATAACATTCACCGCTAAAAAGTACTATACTCTTGATCGTAAAATATTGATTGTTATTGAACCATGAATGTCATTCCTTTTACTTTGAATATAAAAAGGTATAAGAAAGAGGAACTTTCACATATAGACACTTAAAAATAGCCTAATTACTCTCCATAGCTATAATTTAATAATTACAATATGTAGCTACATTTTATAGGAAAGAGAGAGAAGAGTGAGACTAGGAGAGAGGCGAGAGGCAAGAGAGAGGGAAAAGAGTGGGAGAAAAGTGAATTATATATGTATATAGGTTAGATAATTGTATATTATACATATGTATTTGTATATATGGCAAGCAAGATTGGTAGAGGGAGGAGAGAGTGTTAGGATCAAATCCACACACACATACACTTGATGAATTAAGAACACAAGAACTTTCAAGAGAAAGAGATGAGAAATCTAGAGAGAGAAAGAGAGTAACCAATATTTCGTGGTAACACCCCGTGAGTAAACTTCCACGGCGGTGGGTATATATATTAATAGTTCAGAGTATTTTAGGTTACAGAGAATAAATGGAGAATAAATATTGCAGTATTTTAGGTTAAACCGCGCAAACATTAATATATGACAGTACATCAAATATTAATCAGTCCACAACCTAACAATTCTCCCACTTGGAGACTGATTCAGTCATCCAAAAAATACATTCTAAAAAAAAATCTCTTCATCATCAACATCTTTACCGCACCGCAACATCTGTAGCAACAACTACAGAAAACCAACCGAGGTTTTGCATAACCCCAGTTTCCCAACATCAACACATCTTGTCAACATGTCTGTCGGGTTCTCGCACCCACTATCTTCTCCAAGCACATATCACCATCCTCCACTGCCCTGCGAGTGAAATAGTATCGCCTTCTGATGTGCTTTGTCTTCGAATGATAGCCTGGATTTTTCATCAACTGTATGACACTCTGGCTATCTGAGTAAAGAATCTTTTCGCTTAGCTTCTTGCCCAATTTCTCCAGATAATCTATCAACCATATCATCTCTTTCCCAGCTTCAGCTATTGCCACATATTCAGCTTCAGTAGATGAAAGAGTGTCACACTTCTGAAGCCTGGACATCCAACTCACTGCTATTCCACCTATGGTGTAAATGTACCCGGATATACTCTTGCTCGAGTCCACATCCCCACCAAGATCAACATCCATAAAAACCTGTAGAGTCACCTTGCCTTTGCCAAAACAAAGTGAAGTACTGATGTACCTCTCATATATCTCATAAGCCACTTCATAGTTTTCCAATGCTCTTTCCCCGGGTTCGCCATGTACCTGCTAACAACTTCCACTACATGTGCTATATCAGGTCTAGTGCAGACCATAACATACATCAAACTTCCAACAGCTGAAGCATATGGAACAAGTGCCATATGCCCACGCTCCTCGGCTGTCTTGGGTGACTGCTCCTTTGACAATTTAAAGTGATTTTCCTATGGAGTAGTCCTGCATTTAGGATCATTAACCCTGAATCTGCTCAACACCTTCTCAATGTACAACTCCTGAGATAGATTTAAGTGCCAGCAGATCTGTCCCGAGAAATCCTCATCCCCAAAATCTGTTTCGCTGGACCCAATCTTTCATCTCAAACGCTGCAGACAACCTTGTCTTCAGATTATTAATCTCCCTCATACTAGATCCTGCAATCAACATATCATCCACATACAAGAGTAGAAAGACATATGAATCAGTGTATTTCTTGAAGTAACAACACAGATCCTTTTTAGCTTTGCAGAATCCACTCTTGGTCATGAAGGAGTCAAACTTCTTGTACCACTGCCTTGGTTCTTGCTTTAGTCCATACAAGCTCCTGGTGAGCTTGCACACCATGTTTTCCTTGTCTGGAACCATAAATCCTTCCGGTTGCTGCACATAGTTTTTTTTCAGATCTCCATGTAAAAATGTTGTTTTTACATCCATTTGCTCTAGATGCAAATTCTTCGATGTAACAAAACTCAACAAAATTCGAATAGAGGTTAATTTCACAATAGGAGAAAATATTTCAGCATAATCAATATCTTTCCTTTGTGAATATCCTTTAACCACTAAACGAGCCTTGAACCTTCTTTTGGCATGTGGTTCAGTCTTGATTCTGAACATCCACTTGTTCAGCAAGGCTCTCTTCCCGGCAGGTAACTCAGTAAACACCCATATGTCGTTCTTCTCAAGTGACCTCATCTCATCATCCATGGCTTGCTCCCACTTGATCGACTCCTCCACCTGTAGGGCCTCATCAAAAGACTCTGGTTCCCCTTCATCAGTCAGCAATAAATAGTGTAATGAAGGTGAATACCTATCAGGTGCCCTGATGGTTATGAATGATCTCCTTAACGCCGCTCAGGTGTACTTGCTCCACTTCAGATTCTTCAGTAGAAGTTGGTTGAGTATCTGCTTCGACATCTCTGGGTTACTCTTCTCCAACACAACCTCAACTCCCACTTGCTTTGTAATCTCTAGATCTTTCTGTTCTTGTCATCTCAAAACTTGTAACCATACAAATCAGAACCTTAGCCTATGAGGTAACACTTCACAGCCTTGGCATCAAGCTTTTCTCTCTTTTCTGGATCAACATGAACATAAGCAGTGCAACCAAAAGTCCTCAAGTATGAGTACTTGAGTGTTTTCCTGTCCACACCTCCTCTGGAATCTTGAACCCTAAAGGAACTTATGGTATCCTGTTGATCAAGTATCCAGCTGTGCTCACATCATCCGTCCAAAATGTTTTGGGCAGCCCACAGTGTATCCTCATACTCTGTGCACGCTCATTCAATGTTCTGTTCATCCTCTCAGCAATTTCATTCTGCCTTGCCTTACCAAGAACTGTTCTCAACAATCTGATTCCCTCAACTGCACAGAATGCCTTGAACTCTGATTTGTCATACTCTCTTCCATTGTCAGACCTTAGGCATTTGACTTTCAAACCGGTCTGATTCTCAACTTCAGCTTTCCACTTCTTCAAAGTTGCAAACACATCTGACTTATGCTTCAAGAA